ATGCATGACCATACACAAAAGAGTGCAAAGCGAACAAAGTGCAATGCTGTTTTTGGGTTTTCAGATGGTTTTTCTCTTTTTTAGTAGTTTCAAAACGTTTTGGTCTTTTTTTGTGGACTTTGAAAAACGTTTGGTAATAGCAAAACAAATTTCAGAGGCACGTACTATGTAAAATAGTAAGTGCTAACAAAGTCCGAAAAACGAACTGAAGGTTTGAGCTTCCTACCGCGTCGATTGATAGTAGGGCGAGTAGGAGTGCTGTCGGTTGAGGTTGTCGATTCTGCCGGAGCGAACTGACTCGTCTGAGGTTGCGGTGCGAGCTGTGATGGCGCAGGCTGTGAAGGTGCTTGCTGCACCGAAGAGTCAGACTTGTCGAGGAATGCTGGCTTGAGTCGATCGACGTTGATCGTCTCAGTCTTACCATTGTAATCAATGGTAAACGTCTTGTCGCTTCTACGTACGACACGGTACGGACCAGCATAAGGAGGTTGGAGTGGCCGGCGTACGCTGTCAGTGCGAACGAACACGTGCGTGCAAGTAGTTAAGCGTTCGTCACGTTGGTACGCAGGCTCTGTGCTCTGGGTTGCACAGGCTGAAGCTGTCGCATGGGATGAGATAGGGAAGCTGCGTAGTTGCCATAGTCGAAGGTTGTTGACGCTTTTAGTGAGACGAGTTCACCAGGTGAGCGTTGTGTGCATCCAAAGCCTAGCGAACTTGGAGTGCCATGCAAATCCGCCTTAATTGTATTCCTTAATCCAAAGCGAACGAGCGAAAGTGCTTCGTGCCAGGAGGTACCAGTTTGGGCACAGAGTGATGCTTTGAGTTGCCGGTGGAGCATTTCTACCATCCCATTAGCTGCGGTGTAGTATGCGGTGGTTCGGTTGCGTTGGCAACCGAGAACGTTGAGCAGTTTGCTGAAGGATCCGTCAAAGTGTGCTCCTCCTTCAGTGATGACCACGCTTGGGCAACCAAACTGAGCTACCCAGCGTTCTAGGAAAGCTTGCGCAACAGATGGGCAGTTGACTATCGGCATCGCTTTTGGCCAACGGGTGAATCGGTCGACGTAGGTGTGGAGGTACACCTAGCCTTTGCATGGTGACAATGGTCTGACTAGGTCGACGTGGACGCGTGCAAAACGAGAGTCAGGAGCGGGAAAGACGCCAAGTGGGCTTTTGGTGTGTCTGTATACCTTGGTGCGCCGACACTCTAAGCATGCGTGTGCCCAAAGGCAGACATCGCGATTGACGTTGAGTCATATGAAGCGTTCGGTTACGAGCTTCTACGAAGCACGTATGCGGGAATAAGACAGGTTGTGTAAAGCGATGAAAACTAGTTGAAACATCGAAGGAGGAACTGCGGGTCAAGGAGAAGTTTGTGAGGCATCACAAAGAATGGTCCCCTTAATGAAGCTAGTGGAACTTCGCGTATTTTCAGCGAGGTGTTACGTCGTAGCTTGTCTATGTCGGGATCAGCTTGTTGGGTAGCAGCCATGGCAGCTAAATCAATGTTGGTGCCAGGCGATAAGCTGATCTGATGAATACGTGGAAGCGCATCCGCGACGGTATTGATAGCACCTGAGACATGTCGTACGTCTGTCGTAAACTGAGAAACGTAGTCTAGGTGTCTCGTTTCCCCGTGGAGAATACTTGTCTGTTGCGCCATTGCTTGCCTAGATCAATGGCTTGTGGTCAGTGAAGACTGTAAAATATCGACCTTCAAGATAGTTACGGAAATGTCTGATACCTAGTTAAATAGCTAGTAGTTCCCTACCGAAGTTGCTGTAACGCGATTCGGCAGGTTGTAAACGTTTCGAGAAGAAACCTAGAGGTATCCATCGATCTTCGATGAGTGGCTGAAGAATTGCACCTACGGCAGTCTCGGATGCGTCAGTTGTCAGGGAGAGTGGTGCAGACGTGTTTGGATGGGCGAGAAGCGCTATGTTGGAGATAGCGGCTTTGAGCTTCTCAAAAGACAGTCTAGCCTCGTCTGGAAAATGAAAAGGGTGTTGGTTGTCGTGGAGCAAGTCAGTCATCGGTTGAACAATGCTCGCGTAGTTAGGAATAAAGTGTCTATAATAGTTGACCAGGCCAAGGAATCGGCGTAACTGCTTGAAAGAACTAGGAGCAGGATAGTCCTTCAGTGCCTGGATTTTGTCTGGCAGAGCTTCGATACCAGAGGCGGATATTCGGTGACCAAGAAAGTCCATGGAGCTTTGGCCTAGCTCACATTTATCAGGGTTGACGGTAACCCCATGTTGCTTCAAGCGTTGGAAGTGAGCTTCATGGTGATGAAGATATTTATCCTCAGAAGAGCTGGCGATGAGTATGTCATCTAAATAAAGATAAACGTCTTCGAGTTCTCACGTTACCTCAGGAATGCAACGTTGAACCGTTTGCGCAGTGTTGTTGAGGTCGAAAGACATTCTGAGGTACTCGAATAGGCCGAATGGCGTAATGACTGCTGTTTTAGCAATGTCGTCTGGCGCCGCAGATATCTGATGGTACGCGCGAACTAGGTCGACTTTGCTAAAGATAGACTTACCAGCTAGAGCTGAGGTTAAGTCGTGCATGCGCGGTATGGGGTAGTTATCCGGGACGGTAACTTTGTTAAGTGCCCTGTAGTCACCACAGGGGCGCCAGTCATCAGATCTCTTCGGCACCATGTGTAATGGTGATGCCCATGGGCTTTTGGACGGGCGGATTATTCCCAATTCGAGCATTTGCTCGAATTCCGCCTTAGCAGCTTTGAGCTTGTCCGGAGCTAGTCTGCGAGGGCGGGCCGAAACAGGTGGATCCTTAGTGCAAATGTGATGCATAGCGTTTGACGTCACATGAGGCAACTCTTTCGGAACGCGAACAGGTTTAGGATGCTTGGTGAAAATGTCTATGTGAAGTTTGAGGTAGGACACTAATAGGGGTGATAGCAGCCACCTTGGCGCTAGTCCCGATAATACTGCGCTGTGTCCTAGAGTCGATAAGCTTCTTCCTCTTAGCATCGACGAAAAGGTCAAAACGTTGAAGGAAGTCTGTGCCTACGATGGTCAAACACATGGCTGCAACTACGACAGACCAGCGAAAGGTTCGCTGGAGGACTAAATTGAGCTTTAGCAGCCTTTTGCCGAAAGTTGCGATTGGTGTGTCATTGGCGACACGCAGCTTTGTCGGCGAGGGTGAGACGACTTCATCTGGGCTACGGGGTATAACGTTAACTTCGGCTCCTGTGTCGACTAGAGACTCTGTGCCGGAAGTTAAATCCCTAACGCGGATCAGGTGACTTTGGTGTTGGCCGCTCGCGTCCGTCTTCTATTAGCTGGCCACGTTGTTTACGCTAATTGCACTTATCTTCGGTAATTTTGTTGCATTTGTAGCATTTTTGAGTAACTTGTGGACATTCTTTTTCCTTATCGCGGATTCATTGCTAACCAAATTACTTCATATGCTAATTTAGCGAAGAGTTATGCCACCGTATCTGTATACATTATTGGATTTATTTCATTTCATTTTGTCGTTTCAAGTGATTGTCTGTTGCTTGATATCCCCGATGTGGCTGCGCTTGATATGCATGTTGACAAGGTGCCTACCTGTCTATTACCCACTACCTCGTCCATACTGGCTACAGGAGACAGTTGGTCGTTGCTGGAGGGGACGGGGGTGCACGGTCCTTGTGGCCGTGCTAGGCTCGAAGAGTGGTTCCATGCACTCAGTGTGGAGCGGATTACGTTCCAGCCACCGCCTTGTGTGCGCTTGATTCCCAAATACAGTGTGCTTGTGTTTGCCTGTGAAGGAGTGTGGGCCGGCTCCGTTGATGAAATGTGGCTCCCATCCACATGCTTCCCGGTATTATTCCTTCGGGTTTACACTGGATATGGGGTGTGTGGTTGGAGCTGTGGGTGGTGCAGCGCAAGCCACCCATGGTCCCTCTGTAGGCGCAGGCGTCCTGTGGCTGTCCTGTGGAGGCCACAGTGATTGGCAAACCGGATGCCGCCAGCCATATGGATGCCACATTCATCATGTGTGACTCTCATGTCTATCACACTGACTCGCTGGACCAACTTAACCACGCGCACCCATCAGTAAAATTCAATTCTTAGCTCGAAAAGGTCGATGAAGTCCCGTTTTTGGACGTTTGGTTGTAACATCGAACCGAGGTCTCACTTGAGAGAACAATCTCCCGTTAGACAACCTGGGTGGATCAGTACAGGCACTTTCTTAGTTTTGCACCCGTGAAGTACAAGCGAAGCTTCTTGTCTTCTGTACTATAGGGCCGCATGAATTTTTGCTGTAGCTGTAATTTCGGACCGAGACTACGACGCAGTGACCATTGTAGACCTACCGGCCAAAGGAGCTTATGCTTTGTGCGTGTGTGCGTCTTCACGCGTATCATGATGTTTAACTGTATCAATTAGATTACTGATCGACTTGTTGAGTCAACCAATCGCATCCCGAGCGTGTCCTTACCTTTCACTTTAATCTTAGTCTTGTAATTCAATTTGCCTAAAGTGAATTGTCGAAATGTTTTCGATTCGCAAATGTTATGCTTCTTTGAATAGGCTTATAAATGATCAGAAAAAGTTACCACTGTTTAGATAATAATGGTACCTAAATGTGATAGACTTATCGGGCGCTCTTGCATAATCGCCGCGAGTCTGGTCATTCAGTTCTGCGTTTCGCCACTTGATGTTACATACATTAGTCGTGCTAATGAATTATGGTCAAATGTTGTTTTGTCTTCTGGACTTCCATATGACCATTGAAAGTAAGTCACGTTGCCGTTTGAGTAGGCGGCGTGCTATTGAGAAAGTTATGTAGGTTAGAGGAAAAGTACGACTCCGAAAAACGCGGATGCTTCGGAAAGTTGTAGACAGGGATCTATCATGTGCTCCGCCTTAAAGTAGAAGCATGCTAATATTTTGGAATGCATCCCACTGGTATTATTCGCAAAAACATATCCTGGTGTGTATGCATTTGCTTTCGAATGTGTGTTGTTCTTCTATGTAACAGGTACTTTCAAGTGGAAGAAGAACGAACTGGCAGAGGCTGGATTTGACCCTAATAATACAAAGGATCATCTTTACTGGTTGGACGCTCAAGCCGAAACATATCGCACGTTGGACCCCGAAACTTTCGAGCTCTTGAAGCATGGTTCTATGCGCTTGTAGTTTAGCAGACCAAATTTTACTTGCAATGTATCACACTAATATTTGGCACTCCATCCATTTTTGGCCACACGCTTTCTATAATTTTTGCACTGAATTGTGCTTATCATCCATCTAGTTTTTATACTTTAAGACTTCTGAGTTGTTTATTAATGCATACACGTGACACTTGCCTTTCTTGTTTTCTTGGTCATTTAACAACTCTAAACTTGGTTCCTAGCAATGAAACGATGGGAATTTACGGGCAGCTGTTGTTCTATATGATCTCATAGATTAGGATTTGCCCTCCAGGAGCGTAACTAAGGACTTGCTGTTTTCAATGGGAACAATAATAACGCTCGCTAACTGGCTCTATGTTCTGTATACGCGAGCGGCGGCTTACAGGTGTGAAGCACTGAGTGGCACAGGTTGTGCGGCAAAGTGCGTTGAACTGAGTTCAGATGCTCTGCAGCCGTTGAAATTCACTAGTGTGGGAACCGAAATAGCCATGATTGAGAGATCGTTCCTGTATTGGTATATAAATAGGTGGAAGCTGTTATGTTGACTGTATGCCATTTGAAAGGCTCAAACAGTCTCATTCCATCATTTTTTATTGTATTGTGGCGAATGATATGCACTATTTGGGATGCGTTACACATACCGTTCCTTCAGGGACAAGCGATTTATTCCACATGCGTGAGTTACTGAGATAGAGGATGTATGCGTTCCTAACAGTGCCTTGATATACCTTTATGCCTTGGTAATTTTGCTCTGCTTCGGTCGGCTGGGATCTGGTGTCAAACATTTTCAAGGGAATCTCCGATGGGAGCTTGTTACGGCAATGGCGCCATGTCTCGAGTGTTTCTTCCGCCATGCGTTCGGACTGGAGCACAACTTTCAACACTTTGTGGCCACATCCTTGGTAGTTTGATGATCATGGCAGCCTTGAGATCGATTTGACCATAACACTATGGTTCGAGGGCACTTCGCGTATGTAATGCCACTTCTCCCAGTCATGGGCTTGGGGTACATCTGAGACCTGAAGCTCCGGGACACTGAATAAATACCGAGGTTTCGTTCTTCACCTAGTGGTGGTCATCCGGGTTCTGTTTTCTTCGCCACCATTCGCTCCAAGGGAGGTCCGAAAGAATACGAACACCGCGTGATATAGTTCGAGGACTAGTGGCTGACAGGAGAATCGCCTCAGCCTCGTCCGTTGATTGTAGCGTCACACGTAAGAACCGTGGTTTAGGGTAGTGGGGTGCGTTTGGGTGCCGTACGATGCGCACCATGCCGGTCGGTTCGGTGTGGACGGCAATTAGGCGACATAAGAAGTCACCCTCATTTCTGTCGTCTAGCAGCTTACCTTTTATTGAGTTTTCACTAGATTCAGGAACCTAGGAACATACGATTGTCAGTGACTCGTGGGCTTGTCTAAAGCTACCCGCTTTGAGAGAGGATGTAGTCTGAGTTGTTGATGGTGTGATTTGTGTACGTGTGGTACTTTTGGCGCCTTGTGTTTTAGTGTCTGGTACAGGCTGAGGTGCTACTCCTTGTGCGTCAGCAGATGTGACGATGGAGTACAAAGTCACATCTTCGGTGGGCAAGGATCGGTTCCGGTGTGCCGGTGTAGAATAGGCTACAGATTTTCTCTCAGGCATCAACACTTGAGCTGTGCTGAAGTCCTGGGAGCATGTGGAGCACGGCTATTTGTCCGGTTTCGGGTTACAGGCACAGTTGTCGACGTACTTGGCTTCATATGGTTAACCTTACTACTGTTTTAGCCACCATTTGCAGCTGCAGATTGGTTTGCGACTGCTCCATTATTGATACGGATAGAAGTTGGTGCGCACCGCGCTTTGCTTGTTTCCGGTGAGGGCCGATTGTAGTTGTCATATTGGCTGCTTTGACTACCAGAGCCCCTATCTACATCCAACTTACGTTCTGTCAAGATAGAATGAGAAGAAGGCGGTGGAAACATTGACGCTGATGATTCCAGCGAAATCAGTCGAGTACGCATCTTTTGGTTCGAGCCTGCCACTCTTTCCTGGTGCATCCTCTGCTCCAGCGAATAAAATCTAGCGATCGTCCGCTGATCGGCTTTTCTAGTAATCGGTTTTTAGTATTAGCACACACGACGAATGGCATGGTCAAACATGTGGGACAAAAGCAAAAGACACCAGGCGTGCTGTTCGCCCTTTCGTCTGCCGTTGAGCAAGTTTACCGCACTTGGGACGGTTGTCTTTGGAACCGAACGCACAAGCTATCCATGCTTTCACAAGACGCCTACATTTGGCATCTCCAGATATGTGCTTCATTGAAACCTCGTTTGGTGCCAACTTTAGTAACTCACTGCTATTTCCATAGTGTCAATCAACGTCCTGTGGGCAGCTGATCGATTACTGCGTCCAAGTGGGTTAAGATAGAACGCAGCGATTACTGCAGTATAGGTCGTATATTGCGGTCTTATATATGGACAGCGCACGTGACATTTTATAGGGAGAACGGTTGCCAGGTGAAACCCAAGCACTGCCGTAAGTTATTTTGAACAGTAATGTAAGTTGAAGATGCATCATACAAACCGATTTTTCACCCGGTGTTTCGCAATCGATTGACGGCCAAATACCTCGTTGACCGGCCGAAGATCTTAGTCAGAATCCCCCAATAGTCGCTGAAGCCGGTAGAAGATGAAAGTAGTCGTGAAGTCAAGTGACGAATGGTACAGGTGAGTAAAAATTTCGAGGTAATAGAGGCTGTCCTCTTTTTGAATAAATACTTAATTGTTTTATTACCGGCAGTGCGGGGCACGCTTGTGAAAGCATGATCATAATAATACAAACAGGTATAGTCGATAGTTGTATAAAGATATAGCAAGTTAACCGGTAGCATACTGGATTTATGTGTCTGTACATATGTAAGTGTATGTGTTAGTTGGCAACGTGAGTGAACTTGTGTAGTGTGACTGAATTCGTGCGTTTGTTTGCTGTGTTCGCCATCGTATGAAGGGATTAAAGGAACTCTTTGAATTGGATGACTTACTGAGGTGGGGATCATTTGGAAGGAGAAGAGGCAGTGACTTTATTTAGTGTCGAGTCACAGCCGCCATGTCGCAGTGTTGTTAAACGGACCCTTGTTGCTTTTTACAGGGACAGCACTTGTTTGGCGAAAGCTCACCATATCCTGGAAGACTGCCGCCGAACTATTCGCTGGAACAGGATTCACCCGAACCAGCCAGCTTGCATCACGAGGAGGTTCTTCGGCTAGCCAACCAGGCTTCGTGTCCAGCTGTTTACACTGCATCGTGAGGTGGTGATTGCAGTTGATGCTTGTGGCTGAATACGTCCAAATCAGGCAAAAATGCCATTCCACCGTCAAATGCGGGATCCTTACGAATTACCCATTAAATTATTTGTTCGCAAAATAGGATCATAATTCCTTTAATGCTAAGTTCTCATGAGGTGTATTTGTCTCACAGGTCAAGTGCAAACGCCATGAAGTGCCGTCGGGAACCTGCAGATAAATGAAATATCAAGAGGTTCTTTAAGAAACGAAAGGGGCCAAACCTGTTTGTTCGAGCGTCATTGAGGAGCAGCAAAGCTGTCCATGAAATTCAATCGGAAAGGCACCAGTTAAATGAAGTATCGGAATGTTCTTGCTGAAATGAAGGGCACCGAATTTATTTGTTGGAACGCCAGTGTCCGTGGCAGTGAAGTTAGGCACGACTGAAGTATCTGTCATCCGTTGTGGAACATAGGGTCCATGTAACAATATTATTCCAGCTAAGTGAATTGTGATACTGTCAATACAATGCGAGCTAAACCCAATTGTTTAGACCCATAAAAGTGGCATCTCTCCAGGATGCTGATAAGAAACTCCATTTGGAACGAGAAGTGGGTTGTTCAGAAAGTTGGTTACTTCCTCCAGAGCAACCACATCTCTGTTATTTCGCGAATAGTAAAGAAGTTGATTAAAAGAGCACGAATTCTTAACTGATCGGTCTTGTGCAACCTGCTAGCTGGACTTTTCAATTTAGTCACCATGGCCATTGACTCTAATCTATCAGTAGTTATCCTTTACCTCAATATGCAAAAACTGTTTTGACGCGGCTCCACACAGGCGCCTGATGCATAAGGTTACTGTTGACGGAGTAGACAGTCCTTTGTTAGATTGACTGAGCTCCTATCTAATAGGACGCACGCAGTCTGTGAAGATTGAGTAAATTGTATCCATTCGACGACCGTCTCCAGTGGCATCGAGCAAGGGAGCGTGCTTGACTCTACTTATTTTGATTTAAATCAGTGACCTCTGAAGCAGTTCACAGCACGGTCGCTCCAGCATCTTCGTTGATGACGTAAAACTTATCCACGTCTTTCCACCTAATAATTAAATATCCGCAATTAGTATACACCATGAAGATCCTAAAGAGCCTGAAAAGTGTTGCGAACACTGAAACAGGCATTTCGCATTTTTAGAGGGTTGCCTATTCCGGGAGCCCGGAGAGCGATTCCAGAAGACAGATCGAGTTGCAGGGAAACTTTTATTGGTACAGTAAAAGATTCCCTGTTATCTAGCTATAAAAGAACGACACCGTGGACGCTCTAGCTAGGGGAACGGATGCAAGCACAGCACACAGGGCAGTTGCGCGTTGCAACCGAAACGAGCGCCAAGCAAAAATGGCGATGAGCAAGTCAAGCATTCGAACTCAGCAATCAGTTCAACAAACCACACCGGTTGCCTAAGTGTACAATTATAGAATTTTGGTTAGAATTTTACACAAGGCAAACCGGGGAATCTCCAGACTGCTACATAGCCCTCTCCCAGAAGGGACTGTGTAAGCAGTCCTTCGATCTACGTGAGGACTGTCCGTCGCGGGCCAGCCTTCTGCGAGACCAGGTTGTGAAACCTGATGCAGCTGCTGGGGGAGAACCATGCAATCGGACCCTAGCGGGCTCCCACCCGTGTCCTCCCTACGGTGTCGAAACGGTAAAAAAAACTGTTTGTGGGGGGACAGTTAGTAGAGTTCACGTGGGCGGTTGAACAGGAAGTTCGTTCCACTTGCAGTTGAGGTGCGGAGATCCAGCGGAAAGTGAAACCGAGGGGCAACCAACCGACGGGGTGTATATGGAAAGCAAAATGAAAAAGCAGCATAAATGCATAGCAATACACAAAAGAGTGTAAAGCGAAAAACGTGCAAA